TGTGAATTTGACAACCAAGGACTCGACCACTTCTGACAAGTTCTGATCACTAACGTTACAGTACAGGCTGACAGAAACACTATAATATGACACGGCACTACCACACTGGCTTCTCCATTCCCTGACAAAAAGGACTTGAAGGACAAAAGTGACAGGTGGACCAAGACAGAACAGCAAAACCCGACTTGTTTCATTAAAATTACCAAAATACAGGAACAAAAATCGTCAGCCATAACTATTTAAACCGTAATATCAGCAACCCTTCTGAATATTATATGCGCAATTTTAGGTTAAAAAATAAGAGAAAAAAAGCAAACTATTGCACAAACAATAATACTAGACACAGTGACTGGAACTAAAAAAATTCAACTTAAACAGAGTAAAACAGTCTGGAAAAAAATTTTAATTTCTAGTTTCTTGGGCAGACAAAAAAGCAATCTTCAGCGGTAAAAATAGACAATTTATAAAATACAATCCACAATCCGACTAATTACTGAGAATACAAGAAGTGCACTGCCAAACTTTCGAACTGGACTTGACAAAAAATATCTAAAGTTATATTATATTGCACAGGAATAAGTCTGTTCACCGACTACTGTTCACGTCCCCATCAACACAATGTAGACCATCAGACAGGGAGCATTCATGTTGCGACTCGGGCTAGTCAAGGCCAACACAGGCTGAGTGGGATACAATAACATCCTCGTAGAAAGTGGATAGTTACTTGACAACATAAACTATCTGACTCAGGAGTCGTCTGCTGAGATAGAGCGGAGAACATGAGGAAACAGCAGACACCTAGGTATCTCACAAGGCACAGTCTTCAGGGACAGACATGTGCAGAGACTCAGACATGGAAACACTGATTGATTAAGTACACATTTCACTCCGATTCAAACCTCAACCTTCTGAGAAAAGTGGACAACTGTCAGGAAAAGGCGTTTTGTACAATGACTACTGCTTGGGATTAACAACCCTTTCAAGCTGTAAGCTACGAGCTCGCCAACTTTTTCAAAACCCAACCAGGGACACCCAACATTACAATATGACTTAAACAACCAATCAATGAACAAAATTACATAAAGTGGGACTGATTTTGGTGCATACGTTTAAGGCTTTAAAATTCCCTACTACCGAATTCGGAACAGACCAGGAAATACAGAACAGTTGGTGATGAGGGAGGGAGGGAGGGAGGGAGAGAGAGAGAGAGAGA